ATAAACCGTGAAAACTTCATTCAATAAATTATAATTTTTTATTTTGTTCGTTTTTTTGTAATTATAAGAGGTTGATTAACCATTTTTATTATGGAGGGTGTTAATTATGGATATTATCATCTTCATTATTTTAATTTTACAGAAATACATGAAACAGTTTCATTAAATATTATATGAAACAATTTCATAACCATATATGAAACAAATTCATCAAAAAAAGTATTATATGGAACAATTTCACAAGATTAAACAATTTCATGAAAAAATTTCATAAGATTAAACAATAAATTTGACGTATGAGAGTGGTTTGTACAGTTTGTACAAATAAGAGTGGTTTTCATTTGATCGCTCCTCTATATATATATATATACATATATATGTATTACGTATATATCCTTATCTTTCTATATATAATACAAAATTATTTTAAAAAATACAAGTTTTGTAGGAAAAGAATACTAGAGAAAATGATGTAAAACCAAAGTTTTGATACAAAATTTGTCACTGCAACCACAAGGGTGGTGTCTGATTGGTTTGAGCTTAGCTCCAAAGGTCGAAAGTACCAGGAGGTCTCAGGTTCAAATTCAAGGAGAAATAAAAATCCGTTTGTGGCCATGGAAGTTCAAATGCGATGACTCTGGGTTATCTGCAAAACAAGTGGTCGTCCTGCGATTAGTAGACTCACATAGCGGGTCGGATATCAAGGTTAATAAAAAAAATTAGTCACTTTAAATACTACATTTTGAGTTTTACATGGTATAAGTTTCGACTCCAAAAAAATCTCTCGTATAATTAATGTTTCTTTCCTGAACTTACTTGCATATATCTAATTAGAGGATAATAGTGAAATTGATTATGAAACACTTTTTCTTAAATTTTGTTTTGTGAAGGTAAGTATATGAAAACACCATGAATTTTTAGTATTTGAAGTAATTAAGTTTTTTGAAATTTTTTAATAAATAAAATTTCAGTATTTATTAAAATTTAATAAAATAGTCATTCTGGTCATATAAAAATGACATAGAACATGTCATTGCTATAAGAAAGAAATCCCAAAAATCAATTGATTTTTGTATTTTGAATGATGAAATCCTCAAATATCAATTACTGAAATCGAGCAAAACGGTTCTTCTGAACTATAAAAAGACAGAAAACTTTGTTATTGCAATAAAAACCATTATCACATAGCTTTTAAAGTTAAAAAAAAAGGGAAAAAATAATGACACGAAAACAACCGTTTTCCTCTCACAACTCGCTTGCTCCCGACATCCAATCTCACGACTCGCAGCAACTTAGCGGACGTACAATAGCATCCCCTGTGCGCCCCTTCTCGTTGCAGAGCCATTCCCCAACTTCACCATTCATGCTTTTAGTCTTTTGAGGGACGTTTCTCGTTACTTTTTGTAAACCACATGTACCAAATTTGCACCTACCTCTTTATTTAAATTCAAAGAGGGACCAAATATGTTATAGACTAGCATTCTTTAATATTTAGAGGGTGCCGAAGGATGAATGGACAAAATTACCCTTTCTTAAATGCACTTTATTTTACGCTATTAAATGCAGGTACCCTATCCGTTAAAAATGAAAGTAGAGGGATGTTGCTGGTTAAATGCATGAAATAACAGCCTACTTTCATAAAATTTCTTATTACAGCATTATACTTTTGTTTTTCTTTATTACAGCAATGTACTTTCAAATTATTTTTGTTTAAGGCATTGCACTTTAAAAAATCTACCCATAATAGCAATTGGTAACCTGTTACATTTTAAACCGGTTAACCCTTTGACTTTTTTGCTTGTGTGACTTTAATGAGATGATGTGGATGACACATCATTTTAATGACTTAACTAAAATTAAAATAAAAACCTATTTAAAATTATTATTATTAGTGATTTTTATTTTTCATTGCTATTATCTAAAAAACATTTAATTTTTTTTTACTTTTTCTTATTAAGTTGCATTCAAATTAAATATTCTTAGATTAAAATATTTATTAAATAAATATGAAACATTATTTTCGAGATATATTTTTTTTCTAAAAAAATGTATTTTTTCTTATTTTATGTTGTTTAAATAAATATATATCTTTTAAGGTTCTCTTTAAAATATTAACGAAATAAATTGTTATCTATAATTTTTTAATATTGTTATATTAATAAAATATTCAAAAAAATCTAATTAATTTAATATATTTATACGTCAAGTAAAAAGWTTTTGAACAAAYATAATGTATTTTTTAAAAGATAATATTTTTTCGTAAAAAAGAAACAATTCTTTTTTTTTTTTTTTTGAAAAACACATATTTTTAAAAAAAATATTAACGAGATAAGTTGTTATACTAGTTTTATTGATATTGGTATATTAATGAATAATTTATAATTTTTTAATTCATTTAATACATTTATTGAATAACATGTAAAATATCTAAATATTAAAATTAAAAATACAATGTTTAATAAGAACTTGTAGATGTTATAATAAAATAATTTTGAAAGTACAATGATGTAGTAAGAAAGTCATATCACTATAGTACATGTGGACAACCTACATTGACAATGAGGTGGCATGGAAACCTAGTATAATGGGTAAATTTAAATCAAAAGGTTACCCAATGCTATAATGGGTAAATTTTTCAAAGTACAATGTCCTAATAAAAAATAGTTTGAAAGTACATTGTTGTAATAAGATAAATTGAAAGTACAATGCTATAATAATTTTTTTTAATGAAAGTAGATTGCTATTTTGTGCATTTTGCCCAATTATTTAAAAACGAACACTTGACAAAAAGATTATTTATCTAGTAAAAATCGTGCGTGTACATGTTTTGGAATACAAAAAATAATCTCAGGTTAATAATATATAATATGTTGAAGTTTAATTAATAGCTTATTGGTAGTTTATTACACTACAATAAAATTGGGTTTATAGGACACTCCCAATTGCTAAGCATCCTAGTAGACCTCTTTATAAGACCTAGTTTATAGGACCAAAAAAATAAAGCGTCCTATCTAAAGGCGTTGTAATAAATTTATATGACGTTTTTTTAACATCTTAATAAGTTTTTTATGACACTTTTAATATAAAACGTCTCATTAGCAGCTTTATAGGACACTATTGGAAAAACTGTCATATAAAAACAAATGTCTTATAAAAAATTGAGTTTATAGGACATTTTCTCAAAAGTGTCATTGCTAATGCGACACTTTGTATTAAAAATGTTCTAAAAAACTTGTTAAAACGTCATAAAGGGTCATATAAACTTATTACAACACCTTTAGGTAGGACGTTTTATATTTTGGTCCTATAAATAAAGTCATATAAAACGGTCTATTGAAACGCTTAAAGATTGAGAATGTCATATAAACCCAATTTTATTGTAGTCTTAATTAAAGAAAAAGGAAAAATAGTATAAATTATGTGGTCAAAAAAGCTTTATTTATATGGAGAATATATAGTATTATTGAAGAGTTAAAAAAATATGTGTTTTTGGGCAAAATAAAGTTGCTTTTGCTCGGCAGACAAGAACTAGATCTCACTCAAAACAGCCTATGCATCTTAATTATTATATACAAAAATGTGTGATTTAAATAGCATTAATTTTTGAGCTTGCAGATTCCCATTTTGTGATGAGGTTATGGAGAGTTTTGCAGAGATGGGTTTATAAAGAATAAAAAATGGTGGTTTTTGATTGGTTTGAGTTTGATTTCAAAGGTCAAAAGTATTAGAAGGTCTCAGGTTCAAATCCAAGAAGGAATAAAAATCCTTTTGTGGCCATGGAGGTTCAAATGCAGTGACTTCGTTCTATCTGCAAAACAGATGGTCTGTCCTAGGATTAGTCGGCTCGAATAACAGTTGGATATACAAGTTAATAAAAAAAAGAATAGAAAAGGGATCCAAAGAAAGAGAAAGAAGATGAAGAAGGTGAGAACACAAAGGCTATTTTCTTTATTAATCTTTGAAGGTCAGAAGGAGGAGAAAACGAAGGCAAGTATTGGGTTGATTGGAACCTTTCAAACCCAACATTTTTAGACTATCTTTTCTCCCATACTTCACTTTCATCGAATAACTCAAACCCCCCCTTCTCTTTTACTCCTTTCTAAAATCGTTTGTTTTCATCTTCTTGTCTTGTTGTTCATACACATGGCAATGGCAATGGCATGACTCATAGATCTCTGTTAATTAATTGCAATTAAAAAAAGATTAATTAAATAGTATTTGTTTATTAACCTTAATCACAAAGATATGATGATGATGATGACTCCCTTTTTCTTTTTTCTGGATCATGCTCCATGCTACTTGTCTAAGTCAAATGATTTTAATCTTGAAAATAGATTTGATGATGATTTCTAAGTTTTCAAATTTCAACCACTCATAACACTCTACTGAAACTATGTTTACAAATGAAATAATTCAAAGTATAGTTCCGGGATCCAAGTCTAGTTTGACCTAAGGGATACATGGGTTGTACAGTACGTGTAATAACCCATTAATGCACTGAACACAAGCGTTTGTCTTATGAGGGGTCTCATGAGCTTCTCCCCTCTCCATTCTGCACAGAAGACATCACCTGAAAGGCACCTTTCATATCTCATCTATATGGCATTAATGAGACTGAACTGAAACTTTCAGATATCAAAACAGAAATCCCAGAAAGAAATGCTACAGAAGAAGAAGAAGGGATTCAGAATCGAGGTGAAACAATTATTACCCCCACAGTCCCACTGCGTATTTTGATCATTATCAAATGAACTACAGAACGAAAAGGAAAATAATGTGTTGAAATCATGGTGCTTAGTCGTAGGAGTTACTTGTGAATTCGTTTTTCTTGGGCGACAAATAGACTACCATCTCTCTGAAACTTTATATTTACATCCGATCCATACCAAAAACACACACCCAAGCAGATCTCACAAAGCTAAATCGTGGTAAATGATATTGTTTAGTAAGATCAAAATACTTTACTAAACTCCATAAGGGTTTTTTAACAATGGATTCTCCCTAAGCAGAGAGAGAGAGAGAGAGAGAGAGATAATTAACAGGGAGAAGGAGGCATGAGATTTAACCCTAAATCATCATTTTCCAGTACCAACCTTGCTTTATGAGTCTCCACCATCGTATTATTAGTCCCATACTCTGGATGCAATCTCTTCTTCGACAACAATGGAACACCAAAAAGCTTTGTTCTACTAACGTTGACGTTATCATCCACAATGTTATTGATGGTCGAAGCATGAAGCTGTTGTGATTTATTAGGATACCCACTTGCGGCATTAAAATTAGTACCCATATTCAAAAATGACTGTTGCTGCTGCTGTTTTTGCATTAGTAATTGACCATTCATATTTGAATTAGTTGAAGATAGGAGAAGCGATGAAGGGTATGAGTTACTTGGCGCCACCGGCTTCACATGGTTTTGTACGAAATAGATTATATCATTGTAAAGCTTCCTCATGTGCGCCAGCTCCGACATCAACATATTATTGCTTCGCCGTAGCCGTTCATTATCCTCCGACAAAGCCGTCACGGAGTTGCCTCCTCTACCACTGCTAATACTGTGGTTGCTGTTATGAAAGATTCCAAGCATACCAGCTGTTGTTGTTGTGGTGGTGGGGGAAGAGAGAGGTGGTGAGTTGTCACAGCAGAGGTGGTCGTCGGAGTCTGGTGGGGAGATACTCCGTGTAGTTGGATATGAAAAGAAATTATTGCCGCCTTGTAGGCCGCCACCAGTGCCAATGCCGGTAAAGTGGTGTGGGTGGTGGTGGTGGTTAACTGTAACTTGCGGTTGTGATGTTTTCCGGCGGTGGATCTCGCACAGCAAATGCTTCTCTCCTTTCTTGAAGAACTCATTTGCAAACTCCCATCTGTCCGGGACTATTTTCCTAAAACCCTAATAAAACGAAACACACCAAACAAAAACACCCGAAATCAATACCATGATCATGATAAACAATCAACACAAAACAAAACCAACCTCAAGAATCAGAAACCCCACCCCTACACTTACGTAGGTGTTAAGCTGGCGGACGAAGGACGAGAAGTTGTTGTGTTTAAAGTAGTTCGGAAGGAGATCACGTGCGAATTCAGGTGGGCGCCAGACGACGAAGGTGGTGTCATCTTCACCCCAGGAGACGATATGGTCGGTGGACGGATCATCAACCAGTTGGTAAGTCTTGGTGAGGAAAGGAGCAGGCACTGCTTTGTGGGAGTCTAACGACAACAGTATCCCTCCTTCACATGAGTTGTCTAACATCATAGCCATTAAAGTCACCTATTTTTCTCTCTCTTTGGATACCAAATCTTCTTCTTTGATTCTTGTTATGGGTGTTCCTTTCTGCTGATGAGATTCGAGAGAGAGGGTGTTGAGGGTTGGTGAAGATGAGTGTGAAAATGGGTGTAAAAATCTTCAAGTCCAATACTTCAACTCATATATTACTTCCAAGAGAGAGAGAGAGAGAGAGAGAGAGAGAGAGAGAGAGAGAGAGAGAGAGAAAGAAAAGATGGGAGATGGAGGCAGAAGGGCAGCCTCGATTATGTAGAGAGGAAGGAGAGAATATGTGTCTGTGTGTCTGGTCTAGGACTGTGAAATAAGAGCCTTTCAAGACAAACCCGTGACACACACACACTCTCTTACACACAGTTACACACTTTTACACACACTATCTTCTGAATCTATTTATTTTACCTTAGTATTTACTAGTGAATACTAGATCGACATTGATGCAGCGCACAGGCACACGCACGAGAGAAGACGAACAAAATGAGGCTGCTATAACCGCACCAATAACCCATCGGCTCCAATGCTAACATTATATCATGTATTTAAACCGTAAAAATTATCCGATTAATCACCGATAAGCCCGACCTCTTTAACATTAACCGTTTAAGTTTTAAGTCTTAATCATTTAAAGATTATACAAATAATGGTTCATAGAAGTTATTAAGGGGCCGTTTACTAAATGTTTACCCAGGTAAGCGCTTACTATGTTACATTACCTTACAAGATAAATGTGGCAAAGACAAAGAATCTTACCCGATAAAAGCGAAACAAGGAACAAGAGTCTTACTCAGTAAGTGAATGTTACAACTCTTACCATGGTAAGAGCTTATTGTGTAAATTATTGCATATGGTGTTGTTTTGGTGGACTAAAATATTACCCGATAAGTAATTAACGGTGTTAAATTTTACCGGTAAGCACTTATTGAGTAAGTTTTTAGTAAACGGCCTCTAACTGAATCATTAAGATCAGATGCTCTTAGAAAGCATGGGATGGGGTCGGGATGGACACAAGTGGACGGTGTCAACGCTGTATATTTACTACGCTGCTACTGTTACTTATTATGGTCTTTTTTGGGCAATTTATATTATTTCCATTTTTGTATATATATTTATGACTCATTTCTTGCACATATATATTAGTCCTGTTGACTAGTCAATCCTCAGATTATACCTTCTATTATTATGCAAAAGGGGTTCTTTTATTATGAAACGAATGAAAGGCAATGTTGGACAGTTGTTGTACCAAATATAATAAGTGACAAAAAAACATTTAATTCAATGTGTTATAAATGCAAAAACATAAAAGTGGAGATACTAAAAATAAAGTCAAGCAAATAGAAGCTAAATTATTATTGATTTTTGTTTATCCGACACTTACTTTGTAAACGTTTACCGGTAAGAGTCAACATCTTGACTCAATTTATGAGGTAAGATTTTAGTTCATTAAAACATGATTGCATGCGACATTTTTATCTGGTAAACGTTTACTGGGTTAAAGTCGGCACTCTTACTTATCGCGTAAGACTCTGAGTCCTTCTCACCTCTCTTACAAGGTAAGATTCTCAATTCTTTTTATAGCAAAAAGACACCTTTACTCCAACCAAAAACTAGCGAGACGGTAAAGTGACCTGGTAAGTGTTACGGGGTAAAAATTTAATAAGGGGCATCTTGACAAGGGGATTTTCCAAATGTCAACAACATCCATTATCAAAGTCGTGTGCTTGAGAGTTAAGGCCCATTATGCATAATTTAACTAGTTGAATCGCTTGCACTACTAACTGTGCCGTTCTCGACGTCTACTGAAAGATCCATAAGCTTCATTCCTGCTATAAATATTAGACCATCACAGTAACGAGTAGTCCGCCTAAAATGCTTCAAGCTGATTTTGAACCAGAAATAGTTTGTAGGCTAATATGATCCCGTTAATTCATTCGAAATGTTTTTCATGTTGACAATCACAGTCAATTTTGTCTTTTTTTGGAACAAATATTATCTTGCCCGATAGTACTTCTCAAGCACAGTTATCCATTTGTTTTCTTCCAAACCTCAACAAGTTTAAAAATAAGATTTTGTCCTTTTTGGAACGGCTCTTTGTCAAATACAATAGATAAATGTTGAAATCCAGACATCTGTAATTTCAAATCTAAGTATAAACAGATATGCAAACCTCAAGTTCAAGGTTGAACACCTCCCGCTCTTAGTCATTTTCCACACGTATTTTGTGAATATAATACTGAGAAAAAAAATTAAACCTTCATTTTTGTGAGTTTGTATGTAGCAATATACACTTGAATGTTGAAACCATAATGACAATGACTTGAGTATAATTGTTTGTTTCAGGTAAATGATTTACTCTTTCAAGTATCTTTAACAGATAACTTAAATGGAGAAAATAAAGTTTTCCTCTTATTTTTTTTCTCGAACATAACCTCAAAGTTTCTCATTAATTTTTTTTTGATTAACCTGGATATCCAACCCGTTATGCAAGCCGACTAATCCCAGGACGACCACCTGATTTACAGATAGCTCGAAGTCACCGCATTTGAACCTTCGTGGCCACAAGGGGATTTTTATTCCTCTTTGGATTTGAACCTGAGACCTCCTGGTACTTTTGACCTTTGAAGGCAAGCTCAAACCACAGTTCAACAAATTTGAAAATTTTCCAAAATCTCCAAAATTGTATTTTAGGTAGAGAAAATTAAATTTTTATTCCTTCCGCCAATTAAAAATTTAAAAGTTCGATGAGATAGTAAATGTATTAAATATTTATTAATATACTTAATGTTTGAATCTTAAAAATTGAGAAACTCTTGGAGTTGATCAACGTAAATTTTCTATTGAGATTTTTGATATATCTTTTTTCCATTTTGAAAAAATTATGGAGAAAATGTAGCGGATGCTCTCGCAACACACTATAATGTTGGAATTGAGATATCAACTTGAGTGTAATGTGAGGAAGTGCCCTACATTGTACCTGTTTGATTTTGCACCGTTTAGTATCATATTTATTCAAGTGGCTCCCCCTTCAGATGGGTATCGGAAGAACCGGAAATAGCTATGGTTGGATGAACCACCTAATCTCTTGTGTCGGTTCTCAAACATTATATTTTCTCATACTTTTCTGTTGAATGATATTATGTGTTGTGAATTTTTTTTTTAATTAGTCTAACATTTACAACTCTTTCAAAATCCATTCTACGTGGTCTAACAAGTGGCATCAAAACAACACTTCAAGCTGTTAAAATAGTCTTCCAACCTTTGTCAAATCGATCATAGAGTTCTTCTTTCGAAAAATGATTCTTGGACAAGTCTTGTTTTTTACAAAAATTGATATTCATTTTGTATGTTTCTGATTAAAAAGTTCTAGCTTTCCAAGAATTTGATTCGTCAAAATTTTGAAATGTGGTAATTTTTTTAAAATTGATGTTTTTTTTTAAATTATATTTTCAAATGACTCGATTCTTACCGGTGTGTTCCGTTGTTGCATGTGTTTGGTACAATTTTATGAAAGAAATGCAAATCTATTAATAAAAAAGTTATTTATATGATTATTATTTAACAACAATATACTTGATAATAATTTTGAGAATTTTAAGTATATATATATATATATATATATATATATATATATTGTTGTTTTAAATAATGTAAAAAATTATCTTCCTTAGAGTGAAGCACTCGTATGAGCGATAATGGACGAAGCGGAAGCAAGAACGTGGTTGCTTTTTTTGGGATTGAGAGAATACCCAAACCCTCGATTCAAATCCGATAAGGGGCTTTAATAAATACCCAATACACAAGTTCACTCATGTTATGATCTTCTACATTCTAGGTCTTCCTGTTCCATCATCTTGGCTTGGTGTTCACTGGAAACTTGAGTAAGAAGCACTGTCGGATCACTAAGGCTGACTTTCGTCTCCCTCTCTTTCATTTTTACGCCCCCATGCCGCCGCGAGTTGCAGCCTATAATCCGAACTCAGGATTAGAGTTAGCCCCTTGTTATTTTTAAAGAAAACTATGTAAGATAAATAATACTAAATAAGAAAATGAGCAATAACTTCCTCTTGTAGCGAAATTCCTAAGGAAGTGAGTTAGACAAAAAAGAAGCAACCGAAATGGATACACCGTCGTATGGCTGAGCGGGGGTCTGGCAGTCAAGCTCCCTTTTGCCTTGGCACTCGAGGGCTGACCCATGAAAGAAAGAGCCTGACATTCATTTTTGAATGAATATTCATAGCTGGATCTACTAAAAGAGGGACCATAATCGTTCACTCACTGGAGGTTTGGATCCCTGAGTACAATGTAGCAGGAAAAGAGGTTGTACCTGAAAGGGTACTCAGACTAAAGTGTTTTCTTTCCCTCAAATGAGAAAAAGGAGGTGATCCTCGGAATGCAATGTTGTAGCTAATGCATTAAATATTACGATGAAGAATTTGTGTTGCCAACGAAAAAAGAAGAGAAAGAACTTTTGGAAAAGATTTTGAAAATGTGCAAATTATAAATTTACTTTTGTATATGTAGACACATGTGATTTTTTTTAATGTGTGTTAAAATGTACAATATCATGCAATGATATATTTTTGTCAAAAAAAATGTTTAACATGTTGTATGTGAAATATTCCAAATATTTCAAAATATTCAAAAAGATTTGAATCAAAATATTGGCAATCACAAACAAGACATTCGTGTGTTAGTCTTGACGCCTGCATCAGTTCCATGGATGCAAGAATAAGGTTTGGTTGGATTACGAAAGAGAGAAAGATTAGGTTTTGATGAAAACCTAAAAATCTAACAAAATGATGAGAGGATGAGTAGATCTTGATCCTCTAACCCAATCCTTTAACCTTGATGATTGATACTAATTAATGCTCCTTACATACCCCAAAATTAGACCTAGGGGTTCCTTAGTATTTTAAATAAAGTGAGATGTAACGTTTCAATATCCGCATTTGCATATAACCATGTATTTCATATAAACAGAAACATCATAGTATACTTTCGGTCTCAAAAAGATACAACAAGTTACATCTCAAAGGTAGCTAACAAAATTTTCCACATCATTCTTGTACATCACTTGCATATATAACAAGTATTCAAGATCGACAAATAATAGCTCTCCTCCATAATCCAAGTCAGCATATCAGGAAAATCTCATA